CGCTTTCTTCTCCACTCTCGCTTTTAAGAAATGTCTGGTTCCATATTGTTCTTTTCTTTTGCCGAAGAGGCCGTGAAGGACAGAGAGCTCAGCAACAAAAGCTTCAACCATGTGCAGTTGGTTTTCAATTCTTCGAAAACTGATCCAAATTTAAGCCTGACTAACTTTTGAGAAACACTTTCACCGCATGCAATTTTCGTTTCTTGTCAGCTTGATATTTAGGTTAACGAACAGTTTGAAGTTGTTTGTTTGCCCGAGATCGAGAAAATGCAAACTATAAACTCGCCGCGATCCAAGAAAACCGTGCTTTGATGTGTCGCTTTGTCATTTTGAATGAACATTTTCGCGCGTTTTATCGCGCTTGTGACTTCATGTAAGCCGGACGATATTCATTATATACTATCTCAAAAGTTTCAATGTTATAAAAGAAATGGTAAGCGTGCAGTGTACAACTATCGAGATATATATGCACTTGGGAGGTTTGCTAAGCACTCAAGAAGCTAGAGTCGCACTCGGCTATTGCCTCGTGCGACTTGTACGCTTCTCTCGTGTTTAGTAACCTTCCGCGTGCATATATGACTCCATAGTTGCACGCTGCACGCTTAACATTTCTTAAGTGCAAATAAACAAACTGACGGCAGCGTGCAACCCACGGGCAAATGGATCGAGAGTATTAGCCAATCAGAATGCGCGCTTCGCTAAGGCTATGTTATAAACGGAAATCAGCATCTTCTCCTGCAAACAAGTTACTCTCGCTAAATAATCATATGATTCGCTGTTTGTTTTGCCCAACGCAGGAACAAAACTTAATTCTGTTACATTCTTGCCCTTTACGTTTTCTCAAGAACATTTAGACTTTTCTCTGAATTTTCGGTAGAATACTCACACTAAACTTTCAGTCACCTATCGAATCGAAAAAAGCCTAGGTCATTATCTTTACACTGTTGAGAGAACCAGTCAATCAGAATGCTTCAATGCTAGTCAAATATTTTCTAAGCATCAGCTTAAGTAATCGCATGACAATCACATGATTTCGAGTGGAATTTGGAATGTAGAAGAAAATTGTAAATTATAAAGTGTACCCCGGAAAATATTTTGACCTAATAGTGTCACAGAACAATTCTTGGTTGATTTACACGGGCAATAACTTCTAGTTAATTATGCATCAGTAAATTTTAGCAGTGCCTATCCCCCCACGGGCAATAGCCGGGCACTTGCATTTGACATTTGAT